ACAGTAGCTTTTGCCACCCTTTAGGTCTGCTATCAGGGTCGGCTTGCCGCCAGTGGTTTACACCCTTCCAGTCAGCGTACAGCGCCTCTTGTTTCTCCCACCTATGCGACAGGAGGGCGTATTTCGGCAAAGCGTAATCGTCATGCTCTTCGAGCTCGTAAGTAGAAAGGTTGATTAATCTCATCTCGATACATTCAATCCAGCTCTGAACGAGAGTGCGTACGATGCACTTAAGTGAGGGATCATGAAAGCGCAGGGAGCTCCTGAAGGCCACTTTTTGCACTGCCTCGCCAGCGAACAATCAGTCGCCCCTCTGCGGCTCTGGTGGTGCTGCCTCGTCGTGCTCAGCCTCCCGGCTTGCCTGAATGCCATCTACAGTACTGGAGAGGCCGTCTGTGACGTGGTGCCGGTGTCGCGTTCATCCACGTACAATCGTGAGGTGCAACTGTAGGTTCAAGGTCCAGCTCAAAGATTCACATCCTCGGGCGAAACCGCCGCTAAATTTTACCCTGAACATTAAACACCGTCAACATCTTGAAACAAACACATCTGTTGCAGCCTGGACGAAGTTCTCTCGATCGACAACTCTCGCTAGACCAACACATTCACCTCACCCCACTGCACACACCCCCCAAACCCTCACCATGTCGTGGCAAGGTCAGCAACCCCCAACCCATAAACCCCACCCAAAAACTAACCCCCCCCTCCCCAGCCTACATAGACACCTCCCTAGTCGGCACAGGCAACGTAGACAAAGCCGCCATCTTCTCCGCAGCCGGCGACAGCGTCTGGGCCAAATCCTCCAACCTCACCGTCTCACCCCAAGAAATGCAAGCCGTGGTCGCAGCTTACAAGGATCCCGGACAGGGCGGCGTGAAAAAGGTGCAGAGCGAGGGTTTGCATATTGCGGGCGAGCGGTTTGTGGTGATTAAGGCGGATGAGAGGAGTATGTATGGGAAGAAGGTGAGTTTTGCATGTGCGTTGAGGTCTGCTTGGGTGGGATACGGCAGAGTGGATGGGTATTGTGTTGTTGGATTGAGAGGAGAGCTAACGTGTTGTGTTGTGTTATGATAGGGACGAGAAGGCGTCTGCATCGTCAAGACCACACAAGCTATCCTCGTTACGCACTACCCCGAGAGTGTGCAACCGGGCGTGGCAGCAAACACGGTGGAGCAATTGGCCGACTACCTGATCAAAGTCGGCTACTAGACGGAGCCAGCTACTAGATTGACCGGGTGGAGCACGCGAACAGAATTACGCTGCGAAATTGTGCATATGTGAACCATGAAATTGCAAGAAGGGTGGGCGTTGTTGATGAATACGACTTTGCATATGCTCTCGGTGCGCCGGAGCTTTTCATCACCCCTAGTACAGACATCGAGGTGGTGGTGATACATAGAAGGCTGCCAGCACCGCGCTGAACCAAGAAAGTCTTAGCCAGTACTTTCGGAACCCATTTGCTTCCCAAGTACTGCCTCAGCATACTTTACCTGCCTTGCGGCTGTGAATTGAAGTCGGCACGCTAAGCGTATGTGCTGTGCGGCCGAACCCTCCAGCGCGTTCTTGATCCGTGGGTTGATAGTCCTAGGGTGAGCGATCGCTGACCGACAGTGTCGTATCGCCATCAGAAGTAGGTCGGTTCCCTCCTCGACGACCCCGACTCCTGCTCCTGCTGCTCCTGCTAAAACTGTCGTAGCTAGGCTGCGTCTTCGTCGACCACCATCAGAAGTAGGTCGGTCCTACCGCCTCCCTCCTCGACGATCCCGACTCCGACTCCTGCTGCGACTACTAAAGCTGTCGTAGCTAGGACTGCGTCTCCGTCGACCACCACCACCCCCTCCTCCCCCTCGCGGTGGACTGTTATTCCTTCTGCGCGGCGGAGGTGATCTACTCCCACGTGCAGGACTCCTGCTTCTGCTCCCGTAACTCGGACTCCTTCGTCGGTTCCTTGGTGGTGGGCTGCGGCTTATCGACCTCGGCCGGTACCTGTCCCTGTCGTCGAATCGATCTCTATAGTCTCCCCCACCCCCACGTCCACCACCTCTGCCTCCATACCTCGGCGGTGACCGTCCACCTCCACCATAACTCGGACTCGCTCTACCCCCTCTCCCACCACCATACGCCCTATCCCCCCGCAACGAAGGAGGCGGTCCACCCATCCCCCCACGTCCCATGCCCCCTCCCATCCCCATCGGCCCATTCTGCCTCAACCGATGCGGCTCTCCAAACCTATCAGGCGGCGGTCGCTTCATCGGCGGACTCCTCGAGAACCTCCTGCGCGGCAGAACTATACTCACATTCACCAACGCCCCATCCAACTGCGCCTCATGCATATGCGCAATAGCACTCTCCGCATAACCCGGCTGCGTATACAGAATATACGCTATCCCCTTATTCATCATAAACTGCGGATTCATCGGCATCTCCAGCTCCGCGATCGCGCCGTAGGTACTGAATATCTCGCGCAAATGCGCTTCGTGCACGTTCTTGGTCAATTTCTCTATAACTATCTTTGCGCTTTTGGGGAGTTGGGGCGAGGGTGTGCGAGAGGGTGAGCGGGAGTGGGTGTAGCTGCGTGAGCGCGAGCGTGTGCGGCTTCGTGAGCGGGTTGGACTGCGGTCGTGGGCGGCATCGTCAGCGCCATTGGGTGGTGCGTCGGTGTCCATGTTGGTGTTGTCGGCGGAGGGGGCGCGTTTGGCGGGTGTGCGCGAGCGGCCGCGGGAGGTGCTACGGCGGGGTGAGGCGGACATGGTGTATAGTATATTGCTGTTGATGTGAGGATGCAGTGTGGAAGTTCGCGCAGCTGCGGACAAAATTGAGGTCCGAGCTTGGGAGCTGCGATGCAAGGCACCAGCACCAGCCATCTCTGTAACTGCTGCATGTACATCAAAGTGAGGACGTTGTGATATGATCGCAATGATGTTCTCTCGTATCCCACTATTGCTCGCCTTCCTGTACTCCATCTCAGCCGAACAGCCATCGGCACCCTCACCCATCAGCGCACCACTCCGCGAGCTCCCATGGGCATCCGGCGGGCTCAACTTCCTGCACACCACTGACACCCACGGCTGGCATGGCGGCCATCTACAGGAAGCGCAATACTCAGCCGACTGGGGCGACTACATCTCCTTCGCACATCATCTCCGACGGCGAGCAGACGACGATGGTTCAGACCTGCTTCTAGTCGACACAGGAGACCGAGTAGAAGGCAATGGCTTATACGATGCCTCCGACCCAAAAGGACGCTATACCTTCGACATCTTCAAGCAGCAACGCATGGATGTGATTACACCGGGCAATCATGAGCTGTACCTGGCCAACACCAGCAGAAGGGAGTACGATGAGGTGGTGCCAGACTTTCGGAACGCATATATAGCTTCCAACCTCGACATCTACAATTCCAAGAGTGGCAGATACGAGGCTTTCGCACCACGGTATCGCAAGTTCACGACGAAGAATAGCGGTGTGCGTGTCCTGGCGTTTGGGTTCATGTTCGATTTCCATGGGAACGCGAATAATACTTTTGTCCAGCCGGTGCAGGATACCATCAAGGAGCAGTGGTTCCAGGACGCGTTGAGGACGAAGGATGTGGATTTGTTTCTTGTGGCTGGCCATGTGCCGGTGCGAGACAGTCAGGAGTATGATTTGATTTACCGTGCTATCAGGGACGTGGTGTGGGACACGCCGATTGTGTTCTTTGGCGGACATACGCATATTCGTGACTTCAGGAAGTTCGAGAAGAAGGCTTATGGGATTGAGAGTGGACGGTATATGGAGACGCTTGGGTTTTTGTCGATATCTGGGGTGGCTGGGAGTAAGAATGGTGTTATTGCTGCGTCGAGCCCGGAGTTTAGGAGGTCGTATGTCGACAATAATCTGTATTCGATGCATCACCATTCTGGCATGAATAGCTCGTCTTTCTCGACGGAAGTGGGCCGCAATGTCAGCGAATCGATCCATGCTGCTAGGAAGGCGATGAAGTTGGATCATACTTTTGGCTGCGCACCACAGGATTACTGGCTGAATCGTGCTGCGTATCCGTCGAATAGTAGCTTGCTTTCGTTGCTGGATACGCAGGTACTGCCTGATACCTTCCGCCACTTGAAGAATGCTAGTATAGTCATCACGAACAGTGGCGCGATTCGCTTCGATATCTTCAAAGGCCCGTTCACGACCGATACTACATTCTTAGTGTCGCCGTTCACGAGCGGGTTCAGGAAGTTGAGGAACGTGCCGTATAAGGCTGCGAGCCAGGTTTTGCAGTTGCTGAACAACGAAGGCCAGATTGCGTTGGAGGATTTGGTTGATGGGAGTGTGAGGATGAAAGATCTGATGCCGCCTTTGCCGCCTGTTAGTCTACGGCAGAACGTCAATGTCCTTGGAGATCAACAAGTTCTTGGTGAACAGCCTACTGTACCGGGCTATACTACCATTGATGATGCTGGGAGTGATGGCGATGATACTATACATCAGCGGATTCAATTTTATGATGTACCGAATGTGATTGGTGTTGATGTTGGGTTCTCGTCTGATGAGAAGCCGGAGACGGTTGATTTGGTGTATAATGAGTTTATACAGGATTGGGTGTTGGTTGCGTTGCAGTATCTGGGGAAGAAGTACGGGAAGGAGGACACGGAGGAGGCGTTGGAGGGGAAGACGATGACCGATGTGATTAGTGGGTGGGTTGGGGAGCACTGGGAGTGCGGGTAGAGCTGTGTAGTACGATATACATGTAGTGGTGTATTCGATGGCATCGAACTTCTAAGGTAGTAGCCAACCGTGCTTGTCATGATCATATCGTCCCGATAGACACCGAACGGTCGAGACCTCCACATCTAGGGTGATGTAGACCCATCATAGATGACACAGAGGACGTAAAATGGTAGGGTAGGTCATCGTCATCGGCATTACGTCGGAAAAATTCCAACTAGTATATAGTTTGTTATTTCTGCTTCCCCAACATCCAAGCATCTGAATGTGATCTTGGGATCACCAATTCAGCTTCTATAGCTCAGTTGGTAGAGCGCGGCACTAGTAGTTGCAGCGTTAACAGCAATGCCGAGGTCTACGGTTCAACTCCGTATGGAAGCACAGCTCCAGAGTTCCTCTTCTTTTGCGTTTTTGCCATGGCGTGGTCGTCCTGCAGTCGATAGGATCGGGTTGCCAAGTTTTGGATTTTTGTGCTGAGTGTGACTTATACGGGTGTATTTGGACAGTAAGTAGGCTACAGACAACCGTAGTTCATCGACCTGTACGGGTAGTGGGCTAGAAATAGCTCATGGCGTGCAATACTATCCACCCGTGGTCTCCAAAGGTCGACGAGCTGGCAACGATACACAGCTGCAACTGCTATTTCTCCCACAACGGCAAGGGTTCGAGCCCGTAGTACAGGCTCTGGGGCGACCGATTCCAACGTTCCAGAGCTCTCCGGCTAATATTCGTAATGGTGGAGCCATACCCCTGGGCGGTGCGGTAGCGCTGAGGTGCGGAGAAAGTCTTGGCATTCCCGAGCTTCACTGTTCACGTCACCTCGGTCACATCTTCCACCACCACAACCTCAACACCTCACTATCATAATGGAAGCAACTTCAGGCTAGTTGAGCACGCTTGGGCTTCGAAAAGTCGGCATGCACTCAATGCAAATTAGCCTCCCGAGTGTGTATATGAGTACATCAACTTGAAATGACTCGATATCGTCCTCCATGCATCTCCTGCACATTACTATGAACTGATTGCGTTTTCTTTCTTTACAGAAGCATGAGCATGCTGACGCGGTTCCGAGAACAGTATACTGACAGCGTTTGAGAAACGCAAAAGAAGAGGAACTCTGGAGCTGTGCTTCCATACTACTCATGAAATACGACACTCAAATACAAGAGCTTTGTTCGCACCCGATGGGTTTCAAAATGATTTTTTAGCAGCCCGCCGTGGATCCCCTCCGAATCAAGGGACTCAGATTGTGCTGCCGCAGCCGACTGCACGACCTCAACCGTGGATGGCGTCACGGAGAGAGTATCATGGTCGCATCGAACTGCATGTGAGAAGAGTGAGAAATACACTCAAAGCTTGATTTGTAGCGGTCCGGGGAGATACACGGCCATCGTTGTCGCTGTCGTAGTCTGAGCTGTCGTCACTACTCGCGGCGGCGAGGCCAAGAGTAAGGAGAGTAAGGTGCTGCATTGAGCTCTTTGCGCCGTGCGTCTGCGATGGCTGCGCGGATGGGGGTAAAAGAATCATTGCGTGTGTCATGTAGGTGTCGTCGGAAGATGGCGGTATGGGCGGCCTGATCGTCATGTTCGAATTAACGTGTTTGGTGCGGTCTGAAACAAAGTAGGCAGCGATTGCTGTGAAACCTTTTTCAAGAATGTTATTATCTGTAACGAACTTCTTGATGGTGCCAAATGAATGGAAACTTGATACCTGTCACATGAGCTTTGCCGGCTCTCGACACACGACTAGAGACATTCCGGCAGCTCGACATGAGACATCCCCAGACCAGAGAGCTCGACTTCAGCTGCCGCGACCGACTACACAACCACGACCTCAAATGGCGTTGCGGAGAGCGACGTTTTCATGTCGGCCTGCGGCCTTGTGTTCTATACTTCAGTACGCACTGTGCTCGCTCGGTCGGTCCACCTTGACGCTCGACCAAGTACCCACGGTTGTGGAGGTTAAGTGCTGATGACATGCAGGAAAGGCAGGGACGCCCTGGATGCCGGTGGAGCCTCAGCATTGCGCAGCCCATACCAGTCTCCCGGGCTCGAAGCCACAGAGGGCGATGCCCGTTGTCGTACCGGCGCCGGTTGTTGAATCGCACCGCCTCTGCATACTTGGCACATTTCTTGTAGTCCTCTATGGTAGTCCGCTGGCCGTGCAAGGGCACACATTTTCCCCGTCGACGCGCGAGCACATTGACTTCGGGCTTTGTCAGAGGGCCGTAGTTGATCTGTTGGGTGGTGGGTCTGGTGGGTTGAGGGCGCCGTGTTGTTACAACCTATCCTACCCAGCCATCCTTTACATACCTGATCGTAGCAACATCGACAATCACGACTTCCTGCTGATCCTTATCGGCCTCACGAGTACCGTTGGCGGCATCACGCTCTCCAGAAAACTTGAGCGGAAGCTACGGCGGCGACGCAACCGCAAACCGCGTCTCAGACGCTGGGCCCTGCATTGCCATACCTCCTGGCCACAGAGCTCGATCTGACTGTCCCACCTCGCTGCACGATCATATACCGATATGGCGTCGTGGGGAGAGCGGCATGGTCAGACCAACCCTCACCAGAGCAGGCTACGACTCCACTAGGTGCGCTCGATTCAGCTTGCACAAGAAATTTCGGTTAGCACTCTAGTTGGCAGATTGACCTTGCAACAGTCCGCTTTGTGACCTCTCTACATGAAGGTCTCAATTTGAGCTGCGGCGACTGTATCTAGTGACAAGGAGAGCACGACCATTGATGTAATAACACCTCCGCAGCGCCATATTGGTCAAGGGCGCGCGCAGTCAGCTGCGTGATGTTGCAAAGGCTTTACTGACAGTGGGATATCGAAATCACCGACTGTCAGATTTGTGTAGAACACGGTCTTGGCATTAGATACCAAGCCTACGTCTGAGCGCAAGCTCAGGAATAAACCTAGCAAATGTGGGCATATGAAGGGCATCGACACCGCGCTCTCATGGACGATCGGCGTAGCCATGTACGTCCCTCAGTTGCAGAAGTGCACCGAGTGCCGCCGACGAGCTGCATTATTGATATGTCAACCTGGCTCCTTTACAACAAAATGCCTGAATCACAGTGCGCAATTTGAGCTGCTGCATCTGACTGCACGACTATGGCCTCGCGAAGAGCATAATATGTTACGGTTGGCTTCGTGCAGCATCGCCACTTCCGTCTTACTGCCATGTACCCTCACTTCTGAACATCCTTCACTTCTTCATCCATTCAATCACTGCGCGTCCTTCACTCTCGCTCCTTCCAAAACTCTTCTTCGACTCACATCACGGCTTTTAGCATCTCTCGGACACTGCATCTATGATCTTGGTCACAATAGTATCGCACGTCCAAACACATCATCATTCCTCCGAAACGGAAGAGCGAGTGCGAATCTACTCGCCCTACTGAGGCAACCTTCGAGGAGAACGCAGAGCGCCAGGCTCGCCTGGATAAAAAGGATGTCAGTGTCTCAATCGATAGCATCGATTTAGCTGACATGATTACCAGCTTGACGAGTACGAAGCTGTGCTCCCAGGGCGCAAAAAGACTGAACAAGTTCGATTCTGATTTCGAGTCGGAGAACGAGATGCCTGCAGACATGTACGAATACTGGGACAAGGACGGGGACCTTGTCGAGTACAAGGGCAAGATGCGAATTGACGAGATTAACCGCAAGCATGAAGAAGCCTCTCTCCTCTCCGACCACCTGCCCTCGCGAGCAGATGTATCGATGAGAAAAGACCCTGCAGCCGCTTCCGCAGCTTTTGGGACGTAGTTCATCGCTCAAGCATTCAAGTATCTGTCGCGAGGACGCAATACTGATCGCTTGGCGGACCGGCTGATCTCATGGATGGGATCTTCTGCAGACCTCACAGCTAGACCATTGGTCTTCCACTATTGTTCCTGAGCTTGCTGTGATGGTGAGTGGTGAGCGCGGAATCCCCGGTCGTGCTTTTGCGAAAAGTGAGACCGTGAAAAACAGGCAAACGTTCGCTAATCTCGCAACACAGCAACAGACGCACAAGCGCGCAGTCGAGTGCTGCTTGGGCGCAGCATGCCGCATCCCTAAAGCAAGTCATCTAGTAGTACAGGGGTATCATGTGAAGCAAGCAGCCGACCGACGAGAAAGCGTCACGTTACCGTGAAGTTCTTCCAAAGCCTCCGGTAATCACCCTCATGCGCCAGCCATTACTCGTCATCGTCTGGAAATCCGTGCTTCCGGTTCATGTCGGTGACATCCGCTCGCGTCACAGAGACAAACTGCGCCCTGATTTCGGGATGGGCTGCTTTCCATCTCTCTGCGCGTGCCATCGCTTCTTTCTTTTTGCTTTTTTCTTGTTTAACATCAGACTTTGGCAATTCGCTTGCAACAGCCGTCTTGGGTGATGCGACGTCGCCGTTGCGTTTTAAGCCATGTTGTTTGCAGAGTGCCCTGAGATCGCGCGGTTTCAAGCTCGTCAAGTGAGTGGCCAAGTCAGGGTGAGCTGCGTTCCAATTCGTGGCCCGATCGCGAGCCTCTGTGCTGCCTTTTGCTGATGTTCTCTTTTCTTCTGACTGTTGGCTTTTTTATTTTGAGAGAGGTCCTGTGTGCATCTCATCGTCCGAGGAAGAGTCGGTGTCATTCGTCGCATCCCTGCAGTGTAGCGTACGAGTCAGCAGCGTACTGACAAGCGCGCAACGCACGCGCATGCGCTTACGTCTAGTAGGAAGGGTAGCCGTGAGGAGCAAGAGAGGTGCCGGCGTACGCATTGAGATTCATCGCGCTAGGCTTTGGTGGTAGCGGGTATGCTGAACCCGAAGGTCTGGGTGGCAAAGCATGAGCTTGTCCGGACGGCCTCACAGGCAGGGAGTGGGTGAGACCGTTTGAGCTTGACCCACGCATAGCCGTTGTTGACTGCACTGAATTCTGGCTTGCCGTCATTTGCCTTTGCCTCTTGTCCGGGCGTTTTCCTTGCGCGATAGTGCGATTCGTGACAAGCTTTGGCGCTGGTGGCGGTGCCGGGCTAACAGCATAACCGCGGTGGAGCATACTCAGCTTTTCGCGCTGGCGCATGAAAGAAGTGTAGTTGCCGCCCCACTGACAGCCCAGAATACTGTCTTCAATGTTGTGTCCTGAGTGAACCTGGCCGAGACGACGCTGAATTGCGGCGTGCGCATGACGGAAGGTGTCGAGCACAGCATCGATCTCCGACGAGCCACCCGAGATATCGTTCATCTCGTTATTCGGATCTATGATGGTGAGTCTGTCCAGGTTCTGCTTCGGAGCCGGGTTGTGCACCTTGTTAAAGTAGCCAGGTGGCTCCATCCTGATGCCCGTGGAGCGAATGTCAATCTTGTTCCCGTACAGGTCCAGGAAGTTCATTAGCATCTCGCCGT